CATCGCTATCACTATTAGGGTGGAGGCCATCGCTATTAGGTTGGACACCATTGCTCTTGGAAGTCTTGTTCAAGGGAGCACATCAAAACCTCCAAGGTCTATCAGTAGAGGCATCCGTATGGATCTGTCTAGGCTGAGTAGATGCCAGGAGCCCCTAGTAGCTTCTTGCTCCTAGTAGTGATGCCCTTGTTTCTAATAGCTTCTTGTTACTACTAGTAAGGCACTTGTTACTAGTAGCTTCTTGATACGTTCGTAGCGATGGCCTCCCAACATACTTGCGATGGCCTCCACCTAGTAGCTTCCTTGCTCATTGCTCCGTGCTTCCAGATTCCGCGCGGATTCCAAGGCACACCTTGCATAGTTCACCAAGTATCGGCCCAGTTCGCCTTATGCGTTCAGGTCGACCCATGAGGCATTTAGTGCTAGAAACAAGATAAGGCTTTCTTCTCATATCTTCTTCTCTTTTTTCATGGCTTAGCTCCTCTCGATTCGAAGTGAAATTAAAGGGTAGTTTGTGAAGTTCAACATGGGCAAGTGGTCGAAAGAGGCCTGCCTAAGATGAGGTCCTGGAGTAGTACTCAGTCGTCTCCGTCAACTAGTGAGCACTGCGATCTGCGTATGGAGTCACATGGTCATTGTTTCCTCGAAGGCACCGATGTACTGAAAGACGGTACATCGCTGTTCGGAGATCTCTCTCCAAAATCGAGCAGCACTGAATTTCTTGGCCAGAGCCATGGTGGCCCCAGACCTGAGAAGCGAAGGACACAAAAAGATCCCAAGGGTCTCAACAACGGTCTCAAAAAATAGGTGAAAAAATGATTTCAAGAGGGGCTCCTGGCCTTACTACAAGGAACAAGAAGCTACTAGGGGCTCCTGGCATCGCTACTAGGAACAAGAAGCTACTATCTTTTGTACTCTGTACATGTAAAAAAAATGGATTCAAGAAGTGCATCCATTTAATGGGAGGGCGTGCATCCCAAAGACCGTCTTTTTCTGTCCATCTCTTATTCTAAGACCCTGAGGGACCCCGGCAAGAAGCAAGACATAGCTCCCAAAGCACCGCCCGCAGTGTGGTAAAGAGGAAGGCAAGTGTACAGCACATCACCTGAAACTGCAACACAGTCTACAGCTTTACACTGCCCCGTTCGTAACCCTAGTAGCGTCCTCTTGCTCCTAGTAGTAAGGCCAAGAGCCCCTAATAGCGTCCTTGTTGTGCCCACTTCATAGTTGTCATGAAACCCATTGGAAGACTTTGGCCAACCTTTTCAGGAGCTCATGACGCACTTCTAGCGGTTCTTCGCATTCGAAACACACCACGACCTGGTTGGAGGGCCAGCAGCCGGCTAACACCGCCCAAGCCATACATCCGGGCATGGGTCACTTTGGCCGCCTAAACACATCGAAAGGACAATGTGTTTCTAATAGCTTCTTGTTACTACTAGTAAGGCACTTGTTACTACTAGCGTGGCACTTGTTTCTAATAGCTTCTTGTTACTACTAGTAAGGCACCTGTTGCTAGTAGCGAGGCACTTGTTCCTAATAGCTATGAAAATAACTACAAAGAAAACAACTATGAAAAAGCTGGCACTGATGAAAATCGGTTGATGCCATTACTGGGGAAAACATGATAAAAAAAAGGAAGTACGTCTCGATGTCAATTCCTGTCCTTGAGTCGAGGAAAACAGCTAGGACTTTGTGTTCTTCTGTTGCCCCACCTTGGGCAAGCCTGTAGTGCCACTGGTGTAGATGAACCCAAAGACATCGGTGAAATTGATGCCTCGTCTGGTTCTTGAAGTATGCACCAGACTGAGAAAAGGAAGGAAGAAAGACAGAGAAGAGAGAGAGAGAGAGAGAAAGAAAGAACGAGGGGAACATAGGTTCTTCAACCCAGCCTGGCCTTTGCGAAGTTCAACAAAATCACCTGTTCGGAGTCTCAGCTCGGATCCGAAACACTGAGACAAGGGACGGGTCGCACGCGTTGTGCCTCGATATGGGAAGCTCAGCAGCAGGTCGTAGTCCACCACAGTGGGTGTTGTAGAGAAGTTCAGATGAGGCTTGCCTCAAAGCAAACAAAAATAAACTAGTAGGTGGGAGGCCATCGCGAGTAGGTTGGAGGCCATCGCGAGTAGGATGAAGCCCATCGCTCTTAGGGTGGAGGCCAACGCCAGTAGGTTGGAGGCATCCATCGATAGTAGGGTGGAGGCCATCGCTAAAATGCCAAAAACAAAGCATCTTTTGCCCCAGTTCTAAACATGTGTGTCCCTCTGTGTGGTCTGGTTGCCTCCCCAGCAGAAAAGCTGAAGGCCAGTCTCCTTGATCTGACTATCCATGCTGTGAAGGTTTACCTGACACGTCAAGCGAACCAGCTTTGAGTCGCCATGTCCAGGAAGGCAGATGCTGCACTGCTCTGCACGTGATCTGTACATGTTTAAGAACTCATCACATGTGCGAAGCATCGAAGCACCGTGCTCCCTTCATCTTCATTCATTTGGGTACCAAGTGCAGCCGACGCTTTGCAACTCACCTCTGTTCCTTCGTCAAAGATCAGGGCGCAGCATTCTGCCACTGAGACACAATGTGCTAGGCCCCGGCCTGGCAGCTTTTGGAACGTCTTTCGCAGAGAGATCCCAACCACGAAGCTTCAGGATGAATTCCGAATCGGCGCGCAGGGAAGCTGTGTGTAATCGGCTGCGTGTAATCGGCTTTGTACTGCGGTTCATTTACGACTGACCCGCTGTAAGATGCTGCAACTGCTTTCATACAGCATACGCCCTTGAAGACCCCTTAGGAAAATATCGGTTAACCTTGTAATTTATCACGGAGCACCAGTTATCAGGAATCGCACTCACAGGACGCGAATCATGTTGCTGAGTCATGATCTCTGGATCGCCACTCCTTCCTAAACGCCTTGCGAATTATTAATGATAGGCACTCGCAGTTCGCTTGAGTATGCATTGCCTCTGTACAATGACAGCAGTTTCTCGCTTGCTGAAATAAAAAGTAATCCACAAAAGTTCCGTTCCGGGTACTATCTTGCTACTCGTCGTGTCTTTTATAGCTACACGTCATGTCTGTTCAGTACAACCAGTACTGTGCTTCAGCTGTTGCTTGCCTGTCAGATTGTAGTTCAGCATGGCCACCTGGCAAGAAAGCGAGCCCCTGATCACACGATCATGTCCCAACTGCTCGTTTTGGCCGATGAAAAGAAACGCAAAAGCGAAAGAGAGAGAGAGAGAGAGAGCGAGAGGAAAAGCAATTCCAGCAACACCTGCCTTGACACCGATCTTTGCCTCAAAAAGGACACCACTCTTTCAGATTGAGATGTCACGACATGTGGACAGGTCGCTGTTTCAACGCCCCGTTTTCCAAAGCGAAGAGGCTTTTAGAAGGCCCTTTGGGCTCTTGCATCTACACATCATCTGGGCCCCACACCATGCCAAGCCACCAGCAAACAAACTCTGGCTTGTTCTCCATCATGAGTGCACAAACCTCGTCCAGTCTCACTGAAACGGAAATGCTCAAATCGAAGAAAGGAGCTTCAATCACTCGCTGAGAAAGTCTTTAAGTTGGCAAAAGTACTTGCCTGTCCCTAAAGCTTCCCCAGCCTGGCCAGGGCACAAGCCTTGCTGGAGCAAGAAATGCGCCATTTGATTCGAGATGTTGTCACAGTCCTGCAGAGAACACGTCGCAACAAGAAATGCTGCCACCATGAGTCATATAACGGGTTTCTCTTGTTCATTCTCGACCTTTGATTGTGATACATCACTGTCGTCTTTTTGTCCTGAAAACTCAGACGCCGGTGCTCAAAAATGGTGAACGTCTCATGTGCAAATTTTCGCACACTTTCCTTCCACCTGGCACTGCTGTGGCGCTGAGACCCCGCAAACCATCACCGCCTTAAGTGTCTAAGTTTGGCCAGCCAGGCATGTCAGCAATGTTGTAACCTGACACCAAGAGTGAGTGAGACATGTGATGACATGTGATGACATGTGATGACCTGTGGTTATGAGTCCATGAGATATGCAGCCATGCTTAGTGCCAGGCTGTCCCAGTTCATACCTCAGAACTATACGCATCCAAATATGTGTGTGTGTGTGTTTCATTTGATTCGATCTCAGTTTCCTAGACGTCTTGTCCTTGTGCCCGTGTGTGGCCAGCACAGTGATGCTGTGAGAATCAACGGGAAAGGATCAAAGTCGCATAATCCTGTACCATCTAGGAGTATATCTGGGTGATTGAACACAGCTGGCGGGCCCATTGTTCAAGACTTTTCGAGCAGGATAGATCAAGTGCTAGTGCCTTCACTTGCATTCTATGTTGAGGCAGCATGTTCGATTTAATGCCCTGGTAGGGTCTCAGTATTCTAAATGATCTAGCCATAAAGTCTCGGTAAATCCGTACCGTCCTGATGCCTACACTGAGCGTCCAATCCGGGCCCAAAACATCCAATCTCAACATGTTTCCGGGTTTGCCCTCTCCGGTTTGCTCCATCGGGTTCGAAAAGGTCTACTAACCGAATGGCGGTCGCAACCGCATGTCGGGTTCGCAAAAGTTGGTGCTCTGTTTGGTCGCTTCGTGTTACTAGTAGGGCAAGCGCACCGTTCGTAGCGTCCTTGCTCCTAGTAGTTTTGCCCTTTGTTACTAGTAGCGATGCCCTTGTTTCTAGTAGCTTCTTGTTCTCAATGTAGCAATCAACTTGTGGCCCATCTGGTTGTTGTTTGCTCCAAGTGGCGCATGCGGCCACCGACCAGAATAGGCCCCAGCTTCCAAGCCAGCCAGAGATCGTGGGTCCACTGTAGCCTTTACACGGAACGGTCAGCTGCAGCAGGAGAAAATCAGACTGCTTTGGAAATGACAAAGAAACAAAAAGCCGGGAAAAATTCAGGGAACTCAGAAGAAAGCAGCCTGTAGTCAGCTGCCACTGCAGCTACAAGTGCAGCACTTGCTCCTGTGAGATTCGATGGAAAGTCTACAGAATCTGACGGAAACCCAAATTTAGATCAATGCCATCAATGCTCAGGTGAGATACAGGAGCCTGCTGGAACTGCCATACCGCGAACGGCCATTAGCACGAAACGACAAATTTGATCTCTTTACCAAAACCTGTGTGTGTGTGGGTGTGTGTGTGTGTGCGCTTGATTCAAAAGCATTGACACGGTCAGCCTGATCTAACAATTCAGCAGTTGTGAAAAGAAATTGTGTCACTACTCCAAAGATTGCTCTCCAACAACTGTCGCTTGTAACGTGTCTTCCACTTATCTAGAATCGCCTGGAGTGCTGTCGCAATTTTGCGTATCCAGAACAGCTGTAATGCAAAGGTAGATTGCAAAATGCAAGGAGCAACGCTTGAAGCCTTCACTGATTTCGACAAACATACCGACTGGAGTTACATACATCTTTTCCAAGGATCTGAAGTACCAGCAAGCCGAAGAGCCGGCCTTTGAAAAAGGGGAAGCCTGGAGTTCAAGCACCAGACCGGGGCAGGCATCTACGGTGGAGGGGAAGAAAGCCCTTTCTGGACCATCGGTCAGCGCAAGCCGGAAGGTGCATGGTCCGATCACTCCGTTCGTCACGATGCCCTGACCGCTCCGTTCGTAGCGAACCTTGTTCCTAGTAAGGCCAGGAGCGCCCCTAGTAGCTTCTTGTTACTAGTAGAAATGTTTTCTTTTCTTCGGGGTAGTTCCAACCCCTCCAGAAACGCGCTTGCCGCTAATGATGCCTCTAGCCAAAGCGATCACGCTTGCTTAGCCTCCAGTCAGGCCCAGCAACGCTTTGCGTCCCAAGCTCAGGGAGCTTTGTCCGGCCAAGCTAAGCGGCAAACATCTCAGCACTAAGGATGCGTGCGCTGATGATGTTTCTTAATCTCACTTGCGACGATGAGCTCCAAAACCTTCCAAACAAAGAACAAACCTGTCTCCCTCTTGAATCCCGAATCCCAGGACTTCACAGCACCTCTCGACCTAACATCACCTCAAGCCCTCTCGCCTCTTCGTTCTGCTCCTCGATTCGCTCCTGGGCCAAGGACTTTTCTCCAAAGACGAGAGTCAGCATGAGCTTCAGAACTGCCACTGCCTTAGCGATTTGAAAGCAAAGGCGGTGACAACTGCGACTGTGACTGACAAACACTGACTGACGAATCTAAATTGACAAACAGGATCTGTGGTGTTCCCACAGGTGGCCAAGTGCAGACAAGAACGCACGTTCGATGGCAATGAACAAGAGCAGCTGTGTGCGAAAGTCCTCGAGGTCCAAGCTGTTGTAGGCAAAGATGACCTGCTGAAAGCTACTAGGAGCAAGAGGACGCTACTAGTAACAAAGGGCATCGCCACTAGGAGCAAGGACGCTACTAGTAGCTCCTGGCCTTACTACTAGGAGCAAGGACGCTACTAGCAACAAAGAGCAGTGTCATTCGTATTTCCTGCACTTCTTCAGCACTTTTGGTGTACATAGAAGCTGACAGCTGGTCCTTTCTCAGGCTGGCGCGATGTAACATGTCAAAGTGACCCCAATGTAGGCGATGAAATTCAAGATAAGCTCCCACGAGCCAAGGCCATGTGTGATGATCGGGACGACACGCTTCTGTGAGAAGGAGAAGCGAAAGGCCAAAAGCCTCTTCGGGAGTTGCAAAGCCAGAAAGACAAACAAGTAGATCTCTTATCAAACAAATGCTTTGCAGTGTGGCCTCTTCATTGGAAGGTTGGACAAGAAGCACAAAACGCACATTGAAGGAGCAACGCAGCCAAACCTCGATTCAGTCATGAAAGTCACGAAACCCAGATATTTATAAATATATATATATATACATATTCTCAACTAAACGGCTCTCTGGTTCCACTGCGTGCGTTCATTTTGCTCGGGGTCTGACATTGACAAAAAGCCAAAGTTCAGGACCACTTGCAAATAATCCGAAACCTCTGCCTCTTCGTCATAATCCGCCAGCATTGCCTCTCACAAAAATGGCCGCTGCAACGAAGCCAAAAGTTGGTTTTTGCAAGCGAACTGAAAGCTCTTTCACTTGATGCTTCCCTCCTGGACTTCCACATACGAGAGCTTCCCATCATCGCCTTGTCAGTCGATAAGTGTTGAAAGGAATCCAAAAGCAAGGAGACGGAGGGATAGCATCTTACACTAAAAGCGGCAAACTTCAGATCTATCATGGTCACTTCATGATTTCATCCTGTCAAGTAATCATAACTTCACTGAGAACCGCACTCTTTTTCCTTTGAAGCTCTTTGCGAACAGTCCAGTACATCATGGCAAGCTGCACCATCAAGCCAGCTCCCACGGATATCACCTGACCACGTTGCCAATGCCTACCTCACAGTTCACCGGTTCACCGTGTCTCTTGAAAAACCCTCTGGGCCTGTGTAATGAAGAAAAGCTGAAGGTCGGCTCGCAACGAATCCAAACATCCTGTAGCAGGACTGCAACAAATTTGTTGATTCGATAACATTTGCTTGAACCAGTCATTCTCTGGCATCAAGGCCAGGCCTGAGATATGATTGCCTGGACCTGGACATCCTTCAACGTGAGGTTGGATGAATATGGTACGAATGAAAGGATAGTAGAAGAGGACCGACTTGACTGCAAATAGCTTCAGAATCAGCGCAGATTTCAAAGCCATCTCAGTGCGATGATTCTCATGTTTGGTCAAGTAGATGCACAGAGGCGTCTATACTGCATCCACGACTTTGATGTTGGCCGTGACCAAGTACTTGAAGTACTTTGCGGCATCTGTGTTCTGCATTCCAAAGGTCATGCCATCGGGGTTCTCAAAAAGTTCGCCTCGCCAGTTTGCAATGAATCGCGAAAAGAAGACGGTCTCACTGAGAAAGAGGATCACAAGGGTCCAGTGTAGCAGGTTGCGAAGGTTTTCCGAGCAGCTGCCCCGCAGTTCATCCTGCATGAAGATATGGGAAGCGTTATGCATGTTGATGGAATCTCACACAATTTGCTTGCCAACAGCCAGTCCTTGAAGTTCTTCCGCACCTTGGATGTATTCTATGCACCAGCATTGGCATCAGACAACAACAACAAAACAAAAATCCAAGCAAATAGAGAGAGAGAGAGTCAGTCCTAGAGCTCTGCTTGAGTCAATCCTAGAGGCTGGAGTGACGTTCTGCACTGATTCCCCCATGCCCCATCGCAGTAGCTTCTCATTCATGGTGTGCTTCATGCGAGCCTTGAATGTTGCAAGTGCGTGCGATGCGAGCGGCGCTTTCGTGTCCCCAATGTTTGCGCGATGCTTGCCGAGTGCTTTCGAGCAGCCAAAAAGACCGTTGTCCAAATGCATAAGAAGCCGCCAAAGCAACTGTCCAGCCTGTGAGCCTGGCCGGAAAGCAACGATGGCCTCCAACCTAGTAGCAATGGCCTCCAACCTAATAGCGATGGCCTCCAACAAAGGTGAATTCTTTAATTCAACAAACTCTGTTGGCAATCCTTGAACTTGAATTCTGTTCAACTTTAGAAATCACTTGGAAGAACAAGAGCGATGCAAGTATCTTCCAGCCGCCTCATGTGTAGGAATGTGTGGGCGGACGAAAGGAAAGGCGGCGCTGAAGACAGCGGGGATGACAAGCCACCTATAGAAAAAACTTATGCCAAAAAAGTCTAAAGAAAAAACAAAGGTATACAAGCATACTGAAGGGAAAAGCAAAGCCTACAAGGTTCAGAAATTCAAGCAGGGCCTTGTGAAGGCGTTGTAGAAATGGAAGTAAGCTGCCACGTGTGCACCAAAGTACTCCGACACATTGTCCGGCATGTTCAACTGGAACAAATGCGACTGCGGCAGGTGCCGGGTTTTTCTCATACCGAGTTCCCCGTGCAGAGAAGAGAAGAGAAGAGAACAGAAGAGAGGTCAACCTCATGGTAATGGCCTCCAACCTACCAGCGATGGCCTCCAACCTAAAAGCAATGGCCTCCAACCTAAGAAAGAGAGAGAGAGAGAAAGTAAAAAAGATCAACTAAACATGGCGCCTTTGGAAAGTAAATGGGTTTGTAAGGATCGCTCCACCCACGCCTCAAAGAGGTCAAGAATAATTCCACAGAGGTCTCACACGACACCTCCGTTGCGGTCAAGATTCTTGTGAAGCTCCTGTAGCCCCTCCCATTTGTGGATGGGGAAGAAGAGTCGCACAACTTCCTCCTGAGTCAAATCAAATCGATTGGAAACAAACCACTGCTCTCCTACCCCTTTTAGCAGCCTACCACCCAAAACACAAGAACTGCACTGGCATAGACCCTTGCAGTTGCGAGAAACTTCAGAAGGCGTACTTCTGCGTTTGCTCAGTTTCTTTATGACAGGATCTCGAATGCAATCGCTAAGTATGCATTGGCATCGCTAAACAAGCCACACCGGACAGGTATTACGGTATTACCATATCAAAAGTACTGCACCTTCAGTGGCTTGTTGTTTTCCTTGGCAATTCTACAGCACGCTGCGCGCAACACCGTTGTAAGACATGTCCAATTTCCTGCACAGCTTATGAAAAGTGGACTTAGAACCATCAAAACACCAAGGATCTATCATGCCTGCCACATCCGTCAAAAAAGACGCAAAAAGGAAATGAATAGAACTAGAAAATGCACTCACGCAAGAACTGGCCATGGAGACAGCAGCACATTCCTGCGCATGCCCTGCAACTTTCCAAACCAACCGGGCGCATGGCAGATTTCCTTGATTTCTCCTTGCCTTTTCTCGCTCGCGGAGCAAGGACGCTACTAGGGGTTCCTGGCCTTACTACTAGGAGCAAGGACGCTAGCTACTAGGGGCTCCTGGCCTTACTACTAGGAAACTAGGGGCTCCTGGCCTTTTCTACTAGGAGTAAGGACGCTACTAGGAGCTCCTGGCCTTACTACTAGGAACAAGAAGCTACTAGGGGCTCCTGGCCTTACTACTAGGAGCAAGGACGCTACTAGGGGCTCCTGGCCTTACTACTAGGAACAAGAAGCTACTAGGGGCTCCTGGCCTTCCTACTCGGAGCAAGGACGCTACTAGGGGCTCCTGGCCTTACTACTAGGAGCAAGGACGCTACTAGGGGCTCCTGGCCTTACTACTAGGAGCAAG